AATTAGTTCAGAACTTTAACTGTAAAATGTTGAGCCCTAATTTGAGTGCTCGCGATGACTTGAAAAAGGTACGCCTACCCCGCAAATAAAATGAATTTATCGAAAAGCTGCACGTTTAAAGTCAAAATCCATAGGACTCCCATGGTGGTTACACTACATCACTCATTGACTGAAAATATTGTATTATTATTATGTATATTATAGTAATAAAGTATTTTCGTCAGAAATATTATTGGTTGTTATAATATTAATGTTTGAAAAATTTAAAAAAGATAGTTTCGCAAAACAACTATAAATAAATACCATTAAAGGTATAACATTCAACATTATATTCAACCAATAATAAATAGAAAAGAATAATGATAAGTTTTTTAGATTTTTAAATTATTTCCTTCTGATGGACGAACAATTTTGAACACTAAGTAGACTAGATATTATACATAGGTACACATTTTTCCTAGACAGAATTGTTAAATAATTAACGGACCAATCCGTATGGTAAAATAAATAAATGTGTAATTTTAAAGTAGGGGTAAATACGAAGATTGGCAAAGCAAAGAAAACGTTATACCTACATTTCTATTTTTTTCTCTGAATTAATAAAAACGATACAGCGTGCATGTTTTATAGTAAACTGAAATGTAATATGATCATTTTCACTTAATATAATATGAAAAATGTAATGTATATTTTCATGAAATCTTAAATTCAACCTATTACCCATATATTATTTATCACATAATTCACGTAACTATAGGTATATAGGTACCGCGCATGTGCGATGTAATAAACCAATTATATATGATTTACGTTTACACGTGATTTATTCCGCAGTGTATCATCGGAAAAACTGCGAAAAGAGATCAATAAATTATATACCTAATAATATGTTAATTTATATTACAGTAAGACGTATCGATTGAAAATCCGTGGATGGTAGGGGTTGGGGGTGACGGTCGGAGAGCTCGTTTGATCATTTTTATTATTACAGCTTGCGCACACTAAAAAAAGACACACCGTTTACTATATATATATTTATATGAAGGTACTACGCGTACAACATAATATATATATACATATATATGCGGTGTGCGTGTGTGCAGAGAAAAGAAAGAAAGAAAGAAAGAAAGAAAGAAAGAAAGAAAGATAGAAAGAATAAAAAACACGTTTTTTCTTTCCGCCGCGTCGAGATTCTCCGTGTGTACCAGAGCGTATACGGCGGCGGTCGAGTACGGACCGTGACGGCGGTGAAGCAGCGGCAGCGGTGGGGGGGGGACTGCGGCGACGACTACGATGGCACGTCCCGTTACCGCCGACACTGGTCGGTCGTCAGTCCGTCCGATTCTCTCTGTCTCTGTCCGTCCCTCTCCCCATTCTCTCTATCTCTATTTCATTCTCTCAGTGTCTAAGTTTTTTATACGCGCGCGCGACTATAGTTTTTATTATTATTTTCCCTCGAGTGGGCCGTCGGATTATTATTATAATATTTTATTATAACCACGATCGTGTTCGCCCAAGGACGCGCACGTCTCGGCCATATAATATCACACTGAGATTTCCCGTCATCGTGGCGGGCGGCGGCGATGCGTTCCATTATTATTTTTTTTTTCCAATATTATTTTTCCGTACGGAAAAACGTATGCCGCCGCCGCCGCCGCCGCCGCCATATACCGTTAGGCCCGATGATGATCGTGGTCGCGGTCGTCGTCCAAGGACGCGTGCACCAGCCACCGCCGCCGCCACAATGGTTCCGCGTGCGCGTTTTGTCCGATTCGTCGGCGGGCGGTCGTCGTCCACCGCCGCGACTGGCAATAGGACCGACAGGGACCTTATAGCTATTGTATCACAACCGTCGGGCACGTTGACCTGGTTAGGTTGGGGAAAAGCATCGAAATTTTTTAAAAAAAACATTAAAAACTGTCTCTCACGTGCGCGCCAGTTATATTTCTCCGTAGGTATACGTATTAACACGGAAAGACGTTCCTAGAAGACGTCGAGGTCCTGGACGCTGTTGCAGCTATGCGCAAAATGACTAATCAGCCTAAATGATATAATAACAATATGTGAAATGCGCATTGTCCTGTGCATAATATTTTGTTTTAGTACTGTTTTGTATTGTCATTCGTATATTATTATGTTCCGGAAGAAGTAGGAAATCGGGAAATCGGTCATTGATCGCATACCCCGATTTTAGTGTTCAAGGTAGGAAGGAAAAAGTTTGAAAATCGTGCACAAAGACCAAATATAGATCATGACCATTACGATTGTCAAAGTAGAGCAAATATAAAACTAACATTATTTGATTAAACAGATTTCAATAGATTTTATTTCATTTCAATAAAAAAACAAATTATGAAAATAAGAATATGTTGGTACCCAATATCATACGTTACATGAACCACTAATGTGAATATTAAAATAGGTAATGAACTTAAATTAAGTTTAAATATTGAAATCATACAGGGTAAAACAACATTTAAACAAACATAGTATTATAATAAGCAATACTTCTCTAATAATTGTTGTTGTTTTTTTTTGTACATATATGTACACAAACAAGTGAACTCCTATTATAATTATTAAAATGAGCAATGAACTTAAAATATTAAATTGTATTAAACATGCCTATTAAGTAGGTACATAAAACAACTAATTATTATTTTTTCTTTTACATTGCTCTTACGTGATTATGTGTTATGTATTTAAGTCAGTGCTTCATTTTTTGAGCCATGATAATATTATGGCACAATAATAAGTCATGTAAATTTGTGTACACCGGGTTAGACATCACAATACGTAAGTACATAAATATAATGTGATCCGTGACCTTAATTGCCGGATCTGCTCATATATGTATATGCAATAGGCCCCTTGTACAATCATTAAAGTCGGGGCACATTATTTGTACTTATGCGCACATGAGTATAGACGTATAGTAGCCGGTAGTACACAATTACTGTTTGAGTGTGTGTGTGTGTGTGTGTGTGTGTGTGTGTCTACTTATGCCATTACACATACAAAGTACCTACGGTGTAGTGTGAGGCGTGTGCATGTTCTGCAGCCTGCAGGAGACCACCACGCTTTCATTGAGCGCGCGCCGGACGATGACGCCGAAACAAAAAACATTTACAATTTTATTTATTGTTCAGCCGCGTAGGTACCTCCTAAATATAATATTATATACGTGTACGGACGCGACAAAACAATAATTGTTGTGCAATGGAGGTGCGTTTGTTCGTTTCCCAAACGAAATAGCAGTGTACCTATATAATAATATATATACCACCGAGTACGTAATAATACGTTTTATTTTAATATTTTATATATATAATATACAGACACTAAATATATAGTGTCTTTGAGGGGGTAGGGGAAAATACCAAAAATGTTTCCAAATGACATTCTGTGTAAGTCGTTAAGTCGTTATTGAGGAACACGCATTTTTAGCTCACTTTATAGCGTCCCTTAAGTTCTATTGTCAATTTGAGTTAATGTTATTTTAGCGTTGGCGATCAGAAAATATGTTGGTAAAACGCTTAGTTAATTGTTGTCCTGATGACATTTAAGAGCACGCCATTCGGTGTAATATATATTATATACCTATACCTAGATATTATGTACACCCGACGCGCGGATATATTATACGCCTAATGTTCGCTAATGCATATTGTAGCAGATATAATAATAATGTGCCTACTCGTTAAAATTACTGTATATACATGCAACAGGTATAAAATATAATAATGGATTTAAATTGGCCGACTGTAGAGGTATGTTTTACGTTCGTTTTATTATAGACCCTCCGACACACGATTTTATTATTACATAAATTCTCGCAAAACACGCAAATCGCGTTGTTTGAATTCCATGTACTTTTTCAAAATTACGTATATAAATTATAATAATATAATATAATAATTTAACGTTGCCGATCGCTGTAGTCCTGCAGTCTTGTACTCTTTTTATATGATAACATTAAAAAAAAACCGACCATAAATAATATAAATTAATTCCGCCGTGTCGATAAGCCCGATGATAATTTATGTGAACATTCTATTGATATAGGCGGTAAATTGCATTGTGATGGCATGGTGGTTTATGAAATAATTGTTACCTAGTCAAAGGAATTCTAGAAACTGGTATTAATATATACTATATTATAATGTTTACACCATTAAACATGTTATGGATTTGTTTCTCACCTAAGTTGGATGTTATAATAATAATATCTATACTAAAATATCAACTGCACGAAGTGATAATAATATAATCGACTTTATGTCTTCGAGAGTAGGTAACACAAACGCGTCTGTCTTTTTCGATCGGTTAACGGAACAGGGCAGCGTGAAATCCGGAATGAGATCCTTGAACTACTGGAATCAAGGACAGCACAATGATGATGAGAACCGTCTGAATGACGATTTGGAAATATTATAAATCGAGCCGTGTAGTGTGGGTTTTCTATGTTAAATGTATGTACATGTATGTATATATATATATATATTATATACATAAGAGCAGGATAATAAAAACCGAATATTGAAGTCTTACTCTTGTATCTAATATGTGACGAGTGGTCGAGGTGTAAACATAATAATAATAATAATAATAATAATAATAATAATAATAATAACACATAGTCTCCGTCTCGTAATTGATTTCACTCTTGCGTTCAAGTCCTGTGAACTATTAAATATTAATATAATAATAGTATAAAGGTGTGTACCTAGTGCGTGTGGGATAGCTGAGATTAGATTTTTTTTATTTACTGATATTATTACATATTATTCTATTCCTGCTAATCCTGTCTACCCGTGACATCCCCCTTTACATGACATGTATCATAGTAATAAAAAGCTTATTTAATATGTATTATACACACTCGATAACGATGTACAATAATATTATGTCACAAAAAAAATCATTACTTTTAAAACCACAAATTCTTAATTTTTTTTTTATTATTTTATTATAATAATGTGATGGTAACTAATAAATAATTAGCATGTAGAATGTTAAGAAACATTCTCAAAAGTTTTATATTACATCATGTAGTACTTATACCTTATGGTAAATAATAAAGCGTACTTATAGTAGTTATTTAATAGTCTTAAGTATATTTTTCAGTGAAATATGTTCAGTATAAATGCATGTATTGTATAATGACTAAAAAATGTCAATCAAGTATAGTATAAGTATAGGTAAGTACAATGAATTATATTATACTAATGTATCACAACAGCACATTTAAAAAAAAATCTATTTTGGTATATTTTTTAGGTTGTCAAGGAGTCTACAATGATTTGAGTAAATGACATAAATGACACACGTTATTCGTTTTTTTTTTTTTAATACGTCTGCGGAAGGATCGACATCTTGCGCGAACGAGATGGACAACAAGACCCATCATACATAAATACAGTTGGTATTAAGGTATACTGTATACAATATTATGTACCTAACAATATGATTATTAACAAACGTCTAAAGTTTCTCTCGACGAGAATCGTGACGTGTTACTTCGGGTTGCCCGGGAACCGGATCGTATATGTGTACATATTATATATGACATAAGGCCGTCCACCTCTGTCCATAAAACACGCACGCTCCACTTGTATTTTCTTTTAGACATTTAAGTATAATATAAACATATTAATATATATTGTTACCTTCTTAAATGTATACGATATAATAATATATCGATCGATCATCATACTGATAAATGTTATACGCATCGATTACAATGTGGATCGTTTGGACGGTGCAGATGTCGAGTCGGAAAATCTTGCCGGACCAACAGTAATCGCGAAGTTTTGGCACAGTTGTTGTTCACGAACTTAAAGCGTAATTATAACCACGTCAATTAGTATACTTACCTCGTTACAATCGATACCAACGCACTTATGAACCGACACTGGCCATTGATGTTTTTGTTGGGGGTGACGTATCTGACGGCCGCTGATGATCCCTCGTCTACCGATGAGAACTTAGATACCAAAATCATCTCCTCTCGAGAAGTTTCCCGGACTCAACCACCCTTAAGCGAATCATCAACTCTGGCCAGATTTCCATTGGAAGACGAATCTACATTCCGTGGACAATCTTCGTCCCAGAGCCCACTTTCAGCCCAGAGCCAACATACGACACAGTGTGAATTTACGACTCGGTGCGAACCTACCACTCGACGTGAACCTGCGACTCGAAGCGAACATTCGACTCGCGCCTCTTGTAGCGACGAAGACGTCAACGAGTCCAACATAGCCGCTTCCACTACCGTTAACCTCTCAGAAGTTTCAGACGGACTTCGCGATCAGGTGGTGCGGCTGACTAATCAGCTGAGCAAAGCAGTCGCAGAGTTGCACACTGCCCAGGAACGCGAACGAAAGATGGTCGTGTTGGAGAGAGAGAAATACAGGTGCGGTGATATATTGTAATATGTAATGCAACCGAGTGTAGTCGCAGTATGTTAATGTGTGTTACTGTGAGTATGGGGTGATGACATATAATATATATATATATATGTATGTAAATCATCACCAGCCCGTATCAAATTTTACATTTTAGTTGAATATTAAATTAAATACATAGCAAAACCACTGTTTTATTTAAGATTGAGTGAGTCAATAAATTATTGGCTACAAAGTAAAATTGGAGGGTACTCACCAATCGAGTAAGTATTTAATTTAAAAAAAAAAACTTGTAACATTATGCATGGCATTACCAACAGCACTGAAACTGTTTGTTTTTTTACTTCTTTTAAATCGAGAAAGCTGAGGTAAGATCGGTTGTATTGCTTCAAGTGATAATATTATAATGATATATATATGAGCGATACGGCAATTGTTCACTCGATCTTATCCTTCTTTATAATGTACGAGTGGAGTGAAATTAGTAATTACTCAAATTAGAGTAATTGGGTATGTTAAAAAAAATCCATTTATATATATTAAATCAAATTATAACGCCAGCTGTACATCAGATTTATGATAATAATTATCATGTGCTTATGTAATTATATAAATATATTGCACTGTAGTAGGAACCTGTGGAGTAGCATATTCACATTTGCGAACTGTTGTATTATTGTTTCACAGATCCATATGGGATGCAAGGTTGAGCGAGTTTAAAATATTTCTTTTTTTTCAAGTTAAGTTAGTACCGACAAATATGGATTAAGTTAAAAAATATATGAAAGAACATATCGATTTGTAGAAAGACGTACGCACATGTACTATATGTGACTTTTTTAATACACGTACTTAATAATGTTGTGTTGTAATAATACATTGGCCATTTTTTTTTTTAAGTAAAGTGATTTCATTATGAGATAAGGGTGTGAACCAAATAAATACTTCAAAGCGGCTAGAAATTAATTAATTAAAAAACAATAACTACACATATTATATTAAAACAAAATTTAACTAGTTAATAGTTGGTACAGTGAAAGAAAAAATCAGCTAAGGGTATACGTAACTCGAATTTTCTCATTTACCGCAGCTTTTCTCTTATTCTGCAGCTATACTAGCCAAGCCAATAACCTACATTATAGTACATCAGTACTTTAAAATCGCAGCACCGATCGATCGTGATTAACAATATATTAATATAGTGTACCACGTACAATAAAATAATATTGTAATTTAATCATTTCGGTAATGTCCTCGTGCCTTAGCTACTTAAAAGCTGCTTCGGAGAAGGTGCTGAGCATCGTGGACAACGTGCAGCACTCCGAGAAAGGATTTGCAGCCAACTCGTCCCGGGAACGGCAGATCCAACAACGGCTTGCCCGCGACCACCGGACGCAGCGCCAATCGCGACGCAAGATGCAGGCGATTCGACGACTGTTGGTGGGTGCCGATGTGGGTCTGGTGCACATCGAGAGTAGCAGGGTATTAAATAAGTGCCGGACGAACCGCAGGAAACCACAGGGCGCTCCGCATGCAGACAAGTCGCCGTTCCGAAATCGCCCGTTGGACGGATAATCAGAGCAGTGATAACGTTATCACTGTACGGACCCGTGTGCGGTGCATAGCGTGATAACTCTAAATTATAATATATATATATTTATCTATGTATACAGACAGCGAGGATTCGCTCCCGTTCGTTGCTCTCTGCACTTCCCGCCCTGTGCACATAATGTTAAATTTTCTTTTAATAGTTTATTTTTCTATTTTTTTTTTTTTTTTATTTAAATATAATTAAATCCGACTAATCGACACTTTTCTCGACTTGAAGTCGTTATAAATTATTATTATTATTATTATTATTATTATATCGACGATAGGTCGTTGACGGAACAGTGTATAGTGTTAGACACACACAAAAAAAAAATGTATACAATAAACCGTAATACACCGCCGCGCCGCCACGTTTCGCTCTATAAATTCTTTTTACACGATTCTCGGAACCTTATTAAAATGTAAACCGTAACGTGTCATTATATATTTTTTTTTTCTTTTAAATAACGTCCATGTACAGCGAAAAGAATAAAACGAACATATCATTATCTTATATATATATATATAATATAATGCATATTGTTATGTCTGTATCGATTCACAAAACGTCGTTGGACCGAAATGCGCGCGGCGACCGCGGTATAATAATAATATCCATCTGTGGTTACGCCGATCGATTCGTCCGTGTCGACTTCTGGTATTACTATTACTATACTGTTGCACCGGGGACATCGAAAATCGGTCGACAAAAACCGTACAAAGGTATAGGTAGTGTTTTATACAAACGTAATAATAATCATGCACAAAGTTCATGTTAATCGGGTTTAAATCGATATGAGTGTTGGAAACTTCAAAATATTTTGTAGACAGACTAGCACTCAGCAGGTGCAGGACTATTCCTTAATGCGCAGAGTCGTTTGTATTATTATTGTATACATTTGGCCAGTTATCGGTCGTCTCATATCAAATGACAATAAGCTCATAAACTTTTTTTCGACCATCCTGATCAATTGTGAGACACGTTATTGATATGGTGGCACATGTCACTCTTTCTTCCATATTATTCGACAGTTTTATCGAATAGTAATATCGCATGATAGTCTCAGCAATTCGCTGTCGGCAGTTGGTACTCAATAGATGCAAGTAGTATCATAGGTATCTGGTATAACATATACGGTTTCTGGTTTCTCTTCAGAGCGTAGGTAACTGAGCAATCGAACAAATGTTAATTATAATTAACTGAGCATGATATACATCATATACCTAGTAGCATAAGATATTTATAATATCGACTTATAAATTATAAGTCGACAAAACGTGAAAACGATGAGCAACGAGGAGATTATATACACACACGTATTAGCTGGTATATATATTATTATATACACAGACCGGTTATATTTCTAGAGAAAAACGTGTATACTGTAGTAGGTATACCACCACGTGGTACATTATCATTGCTCAGGTACCCTGTAATTACTATACGGCTGTGGGTTTATTAAAGGTCTGGTACATGTCGATTTGCTAATGAGAAAAAAATTGACAGCCAGTCGACTGTAGAAAGTGTGGGCAATCCTCTGTGTTATATCGCACTGGCTACTGCAAGAGAAAAATTTTTGACACGCCGATATAGGTTCGTTTTCTCCTCGTTGTATCAAATTTTCCATAATTACATGGGATTATGAGCTGGAAACATTCTGCGAAAAAATACTCGTATATCTTCACGGTACTATTTATTACCTATCAAAGAAATTTAATAAAATGAAAATTAATTATTGTCGTTAGGTATGTTAAAAGATTATATTCTTAAAAAAAAATTTGTCTAGTAATTGACTTTGAAACTGTAATTATTATTCATCTGAGTTAATAACTATAATTGAGTATTAATGATCAAAAAATACTTGGTTAATATGATGTCCAGCATAATATAGCTAGACAAAACTTCTCATGGAAGTTATTTTTTAAATAAATAGTAGACGAGTAGCTTTTCTTGAGTCATCTACAATTATTGAATACAGATTTTCTTAATTGATTTTATTAGTTAGTAATATTAAGATAATAATATGAGTTATATTAAGATTACCACCCTCATCGTTTGTATAATATTATTACAATATTAAATTATGAATGCATAATAATGCGAGGGACCTAAACAATAATTATACGGTGTACATTTATACGTCATATTATTTTAGGTACAATGGCATTGACGTTAAAATGTTATACATTTTAATCGTTTTGTAGGACGTTTTTTGTACGTGCCCGAATATGCAGTCATGAAGTAACTGATTATTGCTTATTTTTATCTTCATCAGCTAGTACGTGCCACGAAACGCAAGGATAGTGGATGACTATACTGACTTGGATTTACTCATACGATAAAACAATGTGCATGCATATTATATACGATAAAGATATGTATATATAAGGAGTATATACTATAATACCTGGGTACTATTAAAAGTGCTAGTTTATAGTCGATTAACGAACAAATCTATCTTCGATTAAGGATACGGATACCACATATCGAATTACAATAATAACGATGTATAACATTAGTGCTACTGCAGGACTGGAATTAATTGTTGTTGTCGTGGTCATCTACCATCGTTACCGACTTACCGCGGTTCGTGTGATTTGTGTACAAGTAGTTACATATACATGCAACGCATTACACTGCGGTATAGTCTGGGCAGTCTGGTATAGTCTATATGCATTATACAACAAGACTTGTATATTGATTCATCGTTTCAGATATAATAATGTTAATAGTTAATGTGCGCTCGTTAATTACAATTTTCTCCACAAATCAACCGATTGGATGTCGTTTGTAAAAAAAAATCATGTTTCATGATATGCGTGCTCAGCGAGATATGTGTATAAAAATATAATAATTTAATAAATAATAATAGGTATAAAAAACGTTTAGTTGGAAACCGGAAAAGTAATATAATAAGCCGTGAGTGCTATCTGCTATCGTATTTGAAAATATGTATAAACAACGTTATGATGCGATATCACATATATGATCTATCGTATACAACGATGGGGGGGGGGGGGGGGTGTCGTCGATCGGATATCGAAACACGCTTACACACATGGCGTTTTACAATATATTAAACATAGGCTTGGACAATAAATTAATAACATGACATATCATTATAGGTACCTATTATATAATATGATCATATTATTGTAATATTTTGTTTTACTTGAGACGGGGGGACTGGTGTCAAAAAAAAAAAAATTGAATCGATATTGTTTATAAAATTATAGCGGTTATACAGATATATATATCTATTTATACATATATACACACGCAATATGACGACTCCGACACGAGGCCACCGCCGACGACGTGAAACTAAGTCAGTAGGTACTTGAACCGAAGCGGTTTAGAGAGCCGGTTCTCGAGTTCACGATTTTTTTCCCCTTCAGTTCACGCTATACAGACGGACGGAATGGGTTCCGATTTCAACCGCCACTGCGCCGCCTCTGCGGGCATTAACCGGTCGGAGAAAATCTGTGCACTGTGTAGGAGGGGGGGGGGGTTAGGTGAATAGAAATAAAAACGCACCGCCCGGTAATATAATAATGATAATAATAAAAATAATAATAACGTACGCGTTCGAAAAAGTTAGGGGGGCTACGAGTCTCACGCTTCCCTCTACGGCTGCAGCGTTTAATTCCGCGAAATTAAAACAAAACAAAAAAAAATCTTCGAAATGTAAATCATTCTTACGTGAAACGTCGCGCACATACAAAATACACAATATACGCAGCATATTGCAGGTTTATACGTATATAATTTTACCTATTACAAGATAAAACACGTCGAAACACACTCACACATATGATTGAACATAATATACTTCACTGCAACCGGTATAATATAATATAATATATAATATATATATATGTATATGCACCTATGGTTGCGCAACTAACACTCTAGTATACCAAATATATACATACAAAATACATATATATATATATATTATTATCAAAGAATTTATACACTTTATCCGACAGACTACGCGAAACTTCACCGCACGTCCTGTTTTCGTATATAATAGTAGTCGTATCTTGAGGCCAATGGAAAGGTCTGTTACATAGTCGCCGTGGACACACACCACATTATACGCATGCGGAAACGTATGGCGTCGATATAATAATATATTTAAAATTTAAATACAAGTATGTTTTTATAATATGTACACAGTACACGGCTATATAATGTAGGTACACGCAACACACGCCGCATATACACTGCAGGGTTTATACATTATGTTATATTATTCGGACAGAGATAATGTCGTTTTTATTTTTCTTCTCACTGTCACTTCGATTCCACGCCGACGGTCGAATCGGCATTTTTGTGCTCGTATAAGAAATTTGCTCACCCGAATATGAGTCCATAATCGTGGCATGGAGTACTTATATGTTTCGCTTTTGATGTACAGCATAGTAGCATATACCGTTCAAGTCTCAACTCTCAACCCGTTTTCGATAGCAATTTAATGATGATCAATTTCAGACACTATTATATTATGATGGTCATTAGCGGTCGGGAGTCTTCGATTTATCCGACGTATTGTAACCGATCTCGTAATTTCAGAGAATTGCATTTCCCGACCACTATGCTTATTATGCAAACGTAACGCTCACAATGTATATACACGTATATTATTATATTATGTGCTCATACTGAAATGATCCCGAGGATAATATCAATAACAACGTAATTGATGTCGGACGTGATATTATAATTGAATGTGTGCAAGTCCGGATAAGAGTTGTGTGCCCTCGCAGATGAAAAAATTAATACAACCATTAAATGTATAATAATATATTGCACATCGATTGTATTTTGCACTCAGAGAGGAATTTTAGATATTTAGAACCATCCCTTGGCCCAATAAAATGTTTTTAAAAAACATTTATGTGTTCTTTATGTATCCTTTGGAAATAAGTATATATAACTCCCTAATATTAGATAGTCTTGCGTATGTCTAAAAAAAAACAATTGCATTTCAAACAATAACAAACGGAAAAGAACACAATTATAAAAAAATAACTAATGAGATATCCCTAATGTTTGAAGTAATTATCTAATAATTAGATTTAGGTTTCAGCAGTCATATAAAATAATATTTGTGATGTTAAAAACT